CTCCCCCCTCTGTCTCTCTGTATTTACTATGTACCTTTATAATTTTAAATATTTATTTCTTAGTTATGCTTTACCAAAAAATATTAACATTTTGTATTAAATTAATTTTATTTGAAAATGTGTGAACATATATCTTTAGAATATTTTTTAAGTTAGCATATTAACAATATGATTTAGAAATTTTATATTTAAACATAAATTAAGTAAGTGAAAGACTTGGAAATGATACTCTATCAGAGAATTGTTCCAATAGATTTTATAGGCTAGTCACATACTATGATTAATACTGATTATTTTATAATTAATTGATGAATAATTTTACTAATAATACTAATAATACTAATCGATAGTACAAATTTAGGATATTGAGGTTTCATAACACGAAGACGAGGTTGTTATTAGAATAAATTAAAACTTTACAAATGCGAAATGTTCAATGACGTAAATACAATATTTTATTATTTTTTAAATTAATATTAATGCAGAGACAAGAAATATTATAACAATATTGTTTTAAATCAATAAAAATACACGTGTTTATTAAGCAAATTTAACGATTGATATAGCTTATCCATGAATTCAAATATAACAAGGAACACCTGTAGAAGATTAAATTATGATATTCTGTATAAAATTGTATTGAAAATTGTAACTATTACTCATTCATATGATTAATGATTCAGAAAATAATCTATAAGAAAAAATATCAGCAATATATAAAAATTTCCTTTTATTCACAATCAAAGCTGCTTAAATATCAGAAATGTGCATTGCAGATGTTCATGTGTACACAAGAAACTAACACATTGTTCCGCACAAATTAAGTGTGGCGATTGACTTTTCATTAATTAAGCAAAATAAATAAAATGTGAAGCAAAATGAAATATATTTTATGCTATTTAATGCGATAATTAAATATATTATCATTATAATCTAAGGAATATAAGTAAATTACATTTATTGTAGAAGACACTGTGCACCAATTTTAGAAAATTTTTATGATTAATTTTAATTGTAATCTCTAAAGACGATTTTATCACGAACCAAGTAATATAGAAGACTTCAAGGTATATGTCATTTTAATGTTAACAATTAAAATTAATTATCTTAATAAATATTAATAATCTAATAAATATCTCGGAAAAACCAATAAAATGTACATAATCAAAAATAATATATGTTTTCTTTTATTATATTTTTCATATAATAACAACATGTGTTTTATATTTTATATAAAATTATTATACAATATAATTGTAATAATAGCAATAATTCATTACTATATTTACAGTCTATAGATAAGTATTGTTCACTAACAGATTCTATGTTTTCTGTTTAGAATTAGACTATGGCCACTAGTCTCCTGGTGGGAGAAAAGTGTGAATAAGTGTAAGGGGTACCGCTTCAATTCAGTAGTTAACACATCTGCTTTTAATGTTTATTTCGTTATTTCGTTTATTTTACAACTACAATATAATTATCATACGTTGATAATGAGAATCGCTAAGATGTTGCAGTTTCTTGGTTGTTGCACTTTGTGCAACTTCGACACTATACGTGGGCGTCAGTGTCAGTCCTTATACCTACCTTATGGACGTGAAATGCTGCTGCCATCTCACTTGAATATTTCTCGAACTGAATTATAGTTTATCACTACGCCGTTGATTTCTTCTTCCAACACCTTTTCACTGCCAGTCATCTTGTTCCAATGGGCACACGAAATTGAACGCGTGACGTTCTATGCTGATAATTAACTTGCAACCGCTAAGTTGATATCTTGAATTGTTCTTCATGTAACAGTGTGTGATGCCGTTTGGTACACTTCGTACAATTTTGTACATCCACAAAATGTTCCTCTCAGCAGCAGTCGCACATCTTGATATTCTTGGGGCCTTCTTGTGGACCCTTAAATTCAGTCCTTACTGACGTTTGATAAACTTTCACCGACCTCTTGTTCCGTAAATGAGATAGGCCTGGGCATCTAGAAGCCATGGATTGATGTTTTCCGTGGCTCTTCTACTCGAGACACTACGAGAACGTTTTGAGTTGCTCAAACTTGGGGTACGTGCTTGAGTCGTTTAGTGAGCTTTCCCGCTGCTCTCTTGTGTACTGGATGAGTCTTTGTACGACTTGGTAAATGGTTATGCAGTGTCATGTGTCAGTTTCGATGTCTAACGAGCGTAAATTTTTTAATTTTTTACCAAGTCATTTGTATCACTAATTAGATCCCCTATTATCAACCCTGCCACATCTTTCACTATTGATGAGTTGAAGAGGAGTTGGTTGAGACGTGATGGGTTTATAGTAGGGAGTTCTCATATCGCTCTGTTAGATTCTCCCATGCCAGTGCAAGAGTGTCATTTTGTAATGGAAAACCCCCAGATCACCTTGGTTGCCGAGTTTTCCAGTGATGCTCGGAAGTAATGCAATTTTTGCACCTCACTGAGTCCTTTGCTATCCATGATTATTCATTGAAAAACAAATCTCGGAACAAGTGCGATGTTAAGTAATTGCCTGATAATTTGGCAATTGGAACGTCTGGGAGACGGGCCACTTTCCTTGATTGCTCCATCGTTGACGATGCATCATCCGACCTTGTGATTAGTTTTGTTGACTCATTTAGCCCGCGATGTAGTTTGTCGACGAGTGTGATTGTACCGTTGAGTATTGGTCGAGTTCTTCACCTTACACGTTCTTCAGAAAATATTCATGATATTTTAACGCTGTTGGCCATATTAACTCTAGTTAAGTATGTTCCTTGTTCAAGGCCTTGTGTAACTCTTTAACTTGTTCTTTCACACCTAAGACTTCTTTAATGGACGTGTCCAAATGAAATAAAGGGAGCTGTTTAGTTAGCTTCTTTAATAATATAATACGATCCATTGATTTTCAGCTTTAAAAGCTCAGCGGGTAATCGCTGTGTAGCGACGCTTCGGGTTATGCGTTCAGCTCTTTCTAGTGTAATAGGCACTTCGGGATTTGTACTTTCCTTTGTTTCCTTATTCTCGTGGTTTCGCATTTTCTTAATAGTAACGTAGTATAAGAGGAGAACAACAATAGAATAGTTAAAGTAGTGAGGAGATTCGTTAGTGCGTTGTGACACAGTTGGCGTGTGTCCTTATGATAAAAACTGTTTAGTAAAAACCAAAATGTTTAGAATTAGACTATAGCCATCAGTCTCCTGGTGGGAGAAAAGTGTGGATAAGTGTAAGGGGTACCGCTTCAATTCACTATATAAAACATCTGCATTTCGTGCTTGTTATTTCGTTTACTTTACAACTACAATATAATGATTATACGTTGATAATGAGAATCGCTAAGATGTTACAGTTTCTTGGTTGTTGCCACATCATGTCAGTATGCACTACGTGTAGAGGTAGGAGGTCATAAATCTCCAGATCTTCTTGTTGCAGTACGCTTGGTAGTGACAGGTCGTAAGTCTCTTAACACTTCTTCGTGTATACGTGCTACGTGGTCGTAACTTGTTTGCAGGACTCTTCCAAGATATCTTGTGGTATGGAAGGGTGAGAAAATGGTTCGATATCTTGATGTGACGTCGAATGGTATTGCTTGCTATGAGTTGTGGAAGCGACCACTTGAGAGAGCACCGTTGACACAGAGTATGAGAGAGCCCTGAGAGAGTGTGCGATAGCACCGAGTATGAGAAAGGCTTGCAACAGCTTCGTGCTCCGGGCACTGCATATGAAATTCTACTTAATATGAAACTGTTAATGGAAGCTTCCATAGTTGCTCTGCTGAGAGTGTTTGTGGTAGTCCAAGTGACTCGTTCTTGATTGACTAGCGACTATCTTGTGGTGGGCTTGCCTTAAATATCCACACGACAGCTTTGTTAGCTGGCAATATGGAGGCGATTATGGTGCTTAAAACAATAGTTACGATTGTGCACTTGTTTTTACAAACCTCCAACGTTTTCCCGAAATGACAGTCGTTGCGGTTTTAGCTTTAAAAATATTATCTATTTTTGTAACTGCTAACTATTTAAGCAACATTATTTTCACTTAGAAGATTACCTCAAAAGTCATCGAGTCACAGTATCAGAAATATTTTCAAGAATGTTGGACTAATTGAACTGTATTCATTATTTATCATTAGAAATGTAACATTGAACTAGTATATAATAATCACTTATATACATCTTTTACAATTACAAAACTAAAATAATGAATTACATTGTATGAAAGTGGCATACATTCTTATAAATTAAACTGATCGTTAGGTTGCATTATAAATAATAATCGAGTGTTTAACATAAATAATTCTTAACACAGACTAATTATGTCTGTTAAATATATTAAATATTATGTGTAAGCCTTTTCAGAATAAATTTTACCGAAGCTTGATAATGAATTAGAAATATTTCATTAAAATAGATCATTGTTACAAAAAATTTGTTGTTCTTTTATGTATTATATACTGTTAAGTTTATGGTATTCAAATAAATTGTTGACGATATGTAATTAAGGATAAGTTATCGAAATTACGAGAAGTTCTCGGGAGTGTCAGACATTTGGGAAAAAAATCCAAGTCGTTAAACATCTGGCGGAAAGGTCCAACGGTCGTTGGACCTCTGAAAAAATCTAAAATGCACGATCATCACAGAGAGACGCTCTCTAAGCGAAGACAAGACGCCGAAGATAGAGGCTTTCTAAGTAGAGACGCCAAGGATAGAGACGCTCTAAGTAGAGACGTACAGCATAGAGGCGATCTGATTTGAGACCCCAAAGACAGAGGCGTTCCCTAAATGGAAATCCGTGGTCAGTGGCTTTATTCGCGGGGACAACACAGACACAGGCGCTATCTGAGTGGAGACGCCAATGAAGAAAGAGACTCTTACTTAATGGTGACATATTAGTGATCAAGCGTTAATTAAGACCAAGATAGAGGGAAGAAGGGCTGATTCTCCTGTGTTGCATTTAAAAAGTGTTGACACTATCGCATTCATATTAAGAAAACGCCACACTACCCAAGACATGCTCCCAAATATGTAACGTGCATAATAAATGTCGATCCTTGCAAAATCAGCAACAACTAATTACCATCAACGAGGAGTATTCGTGATGGTGAACTACTCGTCACAGGATCAGATCAAGGCTACTGTGCATCACTGTGAGTAAACAAAGTCTGTGCATATAATTGCTAATCCTTACAAGTTTAGCAACGGTATCATTACATAGCGTAAAACGTACCCCTTTACAAGGAGTGTGCCCACTCGGTTGTTGATCCTGACAAAATCAACAACGGCATCATCATCAAGGAGTATCTCGTATGGATAAATCATTCACCACTCGATTAGTTCCAAGCAACTGCATCGTCGTGATTGAATAGTATATACCCTTTCATCACATAAATTGTAAATAAACCATAATTAACGAAAAAGTACAAACTGTATTTCTACAGCCCTTCCACTTAACCCCTTCCCAAGCATCCGCTAGGGCGGTCGGAAAAATATTATAAATCTATCTAAACATTATTTTTAACTTATAAAATTCTTATAAGCTTGTAATATAAAACAAAAAATTGAATTTAATCAATTTCTTTCAAATACACATCTTTCAACGGTATTGTACAATATCGTTTAAGATATTTAGAGATGTTTATTTATATATAAATAGAATATAAATAAAAATATAAATCTAAATGTAAATATTTAGATATAAAATGAAAATGGTTGGAATGCAATATCGTCGATCTTATTTATTAAAATGATACTAATGAAAAAATTGCTGTAATTATATTGTATTTGTACTTAATTAAAACAGTCTGTGTTAATATATAAAAATAGAAAAATTTTATTCGACAGACATTTTATGAGATATTTTACAAATCAATCAACTTAAGACTTGTAAAAACTTTGACCAAATATTACTTACTTATTTTTAATCGATATATCAATCAAATATATATTATATTATTATATTAGGATCGTGTTATATGTAATTTTCAATCGATCTATTGTAACTTATTAACAGACACGACAAACCACATTTGAATATTGAGTAAATAAATAATGCAATTGAAAATAAGTTTTTTGTTTTATACGAATAAAAAGAAAAAAAGAAAATAATTGATAAGACATAGTGTATTTATAAAAAAAAATTCACGAAGCTGAATAAGTTCTATTTATTTTATTAAAAAATAATGTAATATGCAAATTATTTAATGTAAGAAACAATTCAAATGAACTATTTAAACGTATTTAATGAAAAAAATTTAATTCCATGAAAAAAATTGATAATAAAATTTTCGTATTATTAATATAAGTTATTAATATTTAATCATTTAAATTGTTAAATTGTAAAATTAAAATTTTTAATAAAACATATATCAATATTTAAAAATACATTTCTAATTTATATATTATGGATGATACATATATTATAGGTGATATATATATATATATATATATATATATATATATATATAAACAAAGTAAAAAATAAATATTAAATAATTAAATAATTATAACTGTGTATTTTATCATTTATGATCAATCAAAGTAGATTCAAATATTTCTGAAAAGTACAATATTAAGTTATATTGCATCAATAAAATAATGATTCTTACATTAAATGTCCAATATCATTCTTCTATTTAATAATAATATGATATATATTTATATATATATATCGTATTATGTTTTTTCAATTAAAAATAATGTTTAAACTTATTTCAATGTTGTGTAGTACTATTGCACGCTCGTTCACATGCATAATTGCAATTATAATATATTTAATAAAATTTTACACAATAATATTTGATTTTATGGAACACATTGGATATTTCAATGAATATATATATATATATATATATTGATATTTGTAACAATTATGATTTTGTATTGTGGTTTCGTTGACTTATTTATTTTAATGTTTAGATGTTTAGTACGTGGCTCAATACTTGTATGTTCCTTGGATTTTCTTGCTTACTTTGTGAGTAATAATAATTTTCGAAAAATACGTATTTCTCATACGCATACTATAAATTTTATCCTACTTTTGTAGTGATTTAATTTCATTTAATGATAATCTTTTTTAGACAATCAATTGTACTTTATCGATGTAATGGCCTTAGTTGGAGATAATGTGCGAGCAGTGAACGAAAGTGAATATCCTTTTATCGCATCTATATTATTGAATCGTATTAATAAAAGTTTGTCGCCTTTCTGTACTGGAATTCTCATCACAAATAAGGATATTTTAACTTCTGAAACTTGTACAGAATATAAAGATCCAGAAGATATTGTTATACTTATTGGAGCTAATAATCTGGAGAACCGTATAAAATATTATGTAGAATGGTGGAAATCGTATAACCAGTGGAGTTTACAAACTGGTGAAGACATTGAAATTCAAAAATATGACATAACTTTATTGAGGGTAAAGTACTAATTGATGACAATCTTATACTTTACAGAGAAAATATTTTTATGATAATTTGGAAATACTTTAATGTGGTTAATGAAGAAATAGAAATTGTAAATTGTAGTATGTCCGTTAATGCTGCAAAGTATTATTGTAGAATTCATATTACTTACGTTTATAATTTATTATAACGATTATTATATTTTAATTTATCATTTGATTAATTAATTTAATATTTAATTATATATTATATAATAGTCTTTTAAAAAGATTCGCAAAGATCGTATTTTTCATCGTATTTTTCGTGACTGGGCATATAAAATATCTCATATGTCCGAATTTAATTTATCCAGAATGCATACACGCAATTAAATTCGGAAATTCTTCGGAAAAGAAAAAGTAATAATCCGAATGATAATAATAATAAAATAAAATTATTTGAATACTACATTTACTATTTGCAGCTGACTAAGAAAGTCCCCAACGACATAGTCCCAGTGGCTCTTTCATCTGTATCGCATCGAAAGTCGTGGCACTTGGAAGTTACGGCAGTCGCGTGGGCCACGTTATCCGGTGGCGTAATACCTCATGAAATGGAAGCAATGGATTTAAGAATATTAATCGACAGTAATTGCGAACTTCGATTGTCAGAACTTGACAGGTTAAACACAGTTATTCAGAGACGAATTATTTGCAGTGTTGCACAACCTTATGCATTCTTAACATATGTGAGTATCAAATATTCTTATCCGTAAAAAATCATTGTCATAGGAATACAATGGGATTATGTAAAGGAATATTTTTACTTTAGGAATTTCATCATAATATTTTATATTTTATATTTTGAAATGTTTCGGGTTTAAGAATTGCCAATATCTTATCAATATTCGTTTTCATTTATTTTCAAAAGTATTAATATATTTTAATGATTAATAATGATTAATAATGTTATTTAGATTCTCTGAAGGGAGAGTGTAATGTAAGCATTTTTTTCTAAGCAGACGAAAATTATTCGCTTTTTAAACTAAAATTGTTTTCAAATTAGCTTATTTCTATTATATCATATAATATATTTTCCAATTAAATATTTAAATTAATATTTAAAATTTAAGACAAAATAAAAGATCATGAAAAATATGGAAATATGTTGTTGACATAGAATAAGATTGAATAAAATTTTAAAATCATTGTAGATTCATAATAATAATTCAATAATTATTTCAATAATTACAAATTTTTGACACGCATTTCTCTCTCTCTCTCTCTCTCTCTCTTGTATGTATACATATATATATATATATATATATATATGCGTGTGCGTGCGTGTGCGTTTGCGTGCGTTCGTGTGTGTGTGTGTGTGCGCGCGTGATATGTATGTGTGCAAATAATTATCTAATTAAATTAATTTCTAGGGTGATGCTGGCTCCCCTCTTTTATACAATGGTGAACTTATGGGAGTGGGTTATCAACCATTTTTTCAATACGCTAAAGAATTTAATCCCGGCGTGACAAATCTTCATTTTGAAATTAATTACTATAGACATTATATCGAAGATGTGATATCAAATTATTAAATTAAGCAAGTAACATTATATATTTGCAAATAAAAATAGATGTTAATTATACATAAAAAATTATAAAATGTATTAAGAATAAAACATTTAAGCAAAAAAATTAAAAATGTGAACATTAATCAATGTAAAGCTTATAATAGAAATTAACAAATAAATAATTATTTATATTATTTATAACACACATTCAATTTTTTCATGATTTTACTTCTTAAAGTTCTATATTCGTTTAAAGCCATCATTAAACTAATTTAAATTATATTATAAGTTATAATACTATTATTTATAACATTAAATATATTTAATTATCTAGTCATATTATTTTATAAGCATCTATCTATAAATTAAAGATTTATTTATCCTTTTGTTCTATCAATGTATTAGAAAATCATGGCCAGCAGTTAGAAATGTCTTGATTAATAATATGTTTGTATAGGATATTCTTATATTTTTAATATATCTTTTATTTATTCGTTTATTAATTCGTAAATACTACATATATATATATATATGTATATATATATATATATATATCTTTTTTTGTAATTTATTGTATTATATTATTTTATAATTTATCAATTTAAAAGATCTTTTTACTATTATTATTAAATATGATATATTTATATTTTGATTTAAAATTATTTTACAATAATGAAATAAAGAGTCTTTATTCATTAAACTTCCAAGCTAAATAGAAGAGAATTTGAATTTGAATAATCAGTATTTGGTGAGTGCCGCATGCATTTATAAATTGATTATATATAAGTCGAAAAATATAATTAAAAATGTATAATAAATTAAAAAGAAAATATAAATACTAATATGATATTTGTACATCATTAAGATATTGCCGAGTAACAAATATTAGAGCCATCAAACTAATGCCTTCAAATGATATAATATAATTTAGTATTAATTTAAGTGATCAATATTCAATTTATAATATAATTAATTATAAAAGCTATATATTATCTGTAGTTATCCTTGTCTTAATAACAGTAGATACACAATAGATCACAATTAATTCCTGTGATATAGTTTAATATTAATATAATGTCAATAATAATTATTATTTTTGTAATTAATTTAATTTTAACATAATATACGAAAAATGTATAATTAAACAATTGTGATAGAACGATGTGATGTTTGAGTATATGTGGGATGATAATGTTGATTAACATTACGTGAGAATAATTACGCAAATATTCATAAGAAATGTCTTAAGACCTTTTAACCAACATCTATGCAAATATGATAACACAATTCTTTTATCTAGCTATGCTGATAAATTGGCGATCATATTTATCAATTTATAAAATACTGAATGCATTGACCTCCATATAATTAGAATGATATTTATCGATCTGTTATCATTAAATGCGACATATTATTTCAACCGGCTGATGTACATGGAAACACTTGAAATCGGGAGAAATATCATTTTATGGTCATTTTATGGAACAACGATTTACTACAAATACAAAACTAATAGTAGAAAATACATTTGTTGGAAAATACATATAGATGTAATAGATATAAATAAATAGATCTTCATTCAATATTCGTGGCCAACTCATTCAAATATTTAAATAGTATTTATAATATTAATAACGCTGTCAGTAAATAAATAATGAAATTCTACATATGCACGTGATTGTTATAAGCAATCAATACTTTTTGCATTTCATAATTAAACGCTCATATTTTCAAAATTTTTTCTGCAATAATTCTCCATTGATAAATGATTAATTCAATAAGTCTCTACACAAATGAATAAAATAATAATAACATACTTATTATTATGTTAGAGAATGAGAGTGTTAAAGAATGTTAAAGAAAGAGAGTGCGAGAGAGAGAGACTTATTTTTAAAGCACATAATTTATAATATTATATTTAGTTAAAAATTACAAAGTAAAAAAATGTTGTTAAAAAATATTCTTTTAGTGAATTGGATTATCTGAAATACGGTGAAGATAAGAGTTATGTAATTTTTATTTTATAAGAACAGACAGCAAATTGCGTTATTTAAATATAAAAATAAACAAAGGAGCGTTTAAAACTATATGTATATTATTTAAAATAATTAAATGTCAATTGCGTAATTTTAATATCGTTGCAAAATATTTACTGTAAATTATTACATTACATTCGTTAGATTTTTCAAATGTTTAAAATAAGATTTTATCCCTATTATTATTTAAAATTAACTTTTATTACATATAAATAGTGTCTGTTTATAAAGCCACATTACGAAATACCTTGTATTATTAATATTTTACAATTTAGGATAAAGAATGATCGCGCATGCGATACATATTCGGAAAGACGAATCTCTAGCAGACGCCATTTTTTCAATTATTATGTGTATTGAAAGAATTCCCAGCAATAAGTAAGTAATAAATAATATTGCTTTTATTTCATTACTTATAAAATTTAACGATTCCATATTTATTACTTTCACTTATTAAAATTATGTCTGTCCTACAATAAATACCGTGTTTTTATAAATTCTTGTTAACCTGATATATATTCAAAATATATTCTTATTTACTTAACGATATAGATTATCATAATTTTTGTCCCAAATGGATTTAGAGAAATATTTTATTTTAATAATTTTTGATAAAATACGTTTTAAAAATAACAGCAGCTTTTCGAAAGAAGTTTTAATGTTGCATGATTAATGTTTACGATGTAAATAGTTGTTCTACGTTTCATACAATTTAATATATTTTTGTGACTTTCTTTTTCTAATAAAATAAAATTAAAAAAAAAGACAAAAAAAGTAACTGTAGATAAAATATAAATTACTCTAAATATAATATGGATATGATACGATATTAATTAAATATATTGGATTACATTATTTCTGAAAATAGAAATTTGTAGAATAGCATGGATTTAAGCCATATAACCAACAAAGATAAATCAAGGACTATAGCTAATCATTTATTTTTTTTTATTTATTAAAAAAACGAATGATAAAATTTATAAGCTTAACCAAATATTGTATTTATTAATCTTTTAAATAACATTTAGCCATAATATTGATTAAAGTTATTACACTTTATTCACAAATTATGCCCTTATAGTGTATAGTGCATATACATAGCCTCTTGCTTGCCCAT